ATGATAACAGTTTTGTAATATGCCATGAGTTGTAGATTATAAAACCAAATCGAAAAAAACGGAAATAAAATCTTTGGACTAAACGACCTCTAATATCGGATATACATTATTTGGATCTCCAGGGTGAATATTATTGTAATTTTATTTAGTTACAATTCTCATTAGAAAAAAGGTTCAAGAACAGTTAAAACATGCTCTTCTTCCTTAATCTCCTCCTTCAGCTCCTGAGAAAAGACCAAGGTCCTGTTCCTGTCCCAATCCTGTTACAACCATTCCAATCAAATTCTGTTATTTAATGGACCAAAAGATTTTATCCTTTTAACTGCAAGAAACAGAGTTTCATAAAATTTTACCGCCAGAATCCAACGGCTGCTCTAAGACTCATGTAAATGGTGAGACCACACCAAAGTCCGATGAACCCATGAGTAGATGATAAAAAGATCAAACACAAAATGCTAACTATAGCCACCAATACTAATGATGCTGCGGCGTAACCAAAATCAGATGCTCCAAAGTTAACTCCATCGAATACAAACGCTAAAGCATTGATTGGCTGTGTCCCTGCCACAAACTTTAGAAAACAAGAACCGGTTTTAGCCACTATGTTATGACATAATATTGGTTTTGGTTACGGATTAAAGGGAATTTAGTTAACTAACCGGAAGTCCTATGCTAATGAGGTGCAAGACTTTATCGTCTTTCGTGAATAATCTTGCTCCAAAATGCAATCCTACTCCAAGTACAACCGCGAGTAGAAATCCAAGAACCAATCCCAACTGTCACAAGATTTAGGCCTTAGGTTACATATTGATCGAAAACCAAATCTTGATTAGCTTAAGTAGACACAAGCCTTGATTGTTTGTTTGCGTTGAATTTGCTTCTTATGTTTACATTTAAATAAATCCACAACCATAAGCAAGATTAGTTCTTTTTGTTAATGTTTTTCTTTTTCATGTAAACACAAACGCAAACGCAGAAATTGAAACAAATAGAGGTCATAAGTGTATACCTGCAGGACACGGGAGGCCGTAGCTGCAGCTCTTTTGTAGTCTTTTTTGGCAAACGCACTCGCTAATATTGCCTTAAGAAAAAAAAACATTTGTTAAAACTTAAAACCACTTAGCAAAAGATGCATCAAGGAGAGAGAATGAGAGATCTCAAGGGCTAAACCTGGCCAGCTACGGCGAACCCATCTGCAAGAAGTGAAGTAGCTAACCAAACTTGCAAGCAAACTTGGAAAGCTGCCATGGAAATGGATCCTTCTCTTGCGGCTAGTGACGCAGAAAGAGTTACGCAGAATGTTACCGCGATTACTCTCATCAGTAAAAGAAACCCTGTGAGAAAGAGAAAGACATCACATAGAAAACAAGAACCAAATGATGTTACTTCATCAGAAAATTTCACTATGAAGAAACTGTAAAAGACTATAAGTATTTTGTAATACCATTTTTCATGAATCTACAGAGTTGAAGATGTTTGGTACTCATGTTTAAGAGATCAACTTGACCCATCAGCTTCCACAAGAGTATTCCACACATAAGGTATCTGAAAATGAACATATAAAAACACTATTACTCAAAGAAGAGGTCATTTTGAGATTAACCAAGCTTCACATGTGAGATTAAACTCACTGAGATATAACATGAGCCGTGGCTGCTCCTGTTACGCCTAGACGGAACACGAATATGAAAATCGGGTCAAGTATTATGTTTGTAACATCTCCAATCACTGCAGAAGAGATTAAAAGATCATCAAGCTTTGTTCTGTTTTTTTCAAGAACTTTTGATCATATGATAAATCTTGCATCTTATTACCAGTTGCGTATAACGGAGTTGTCGTGTCTTTAAATCCACGGAAAACGCCTTGTGTTGCAAGTGAGAGAAGAACAGCTGGTGCACCAAGTGATCTTAGAGATAAATATCTCTGAGCAGGTCTCAACATTGGAGAATCCTGTAAAAAACATTTCATCAACGTCATGAACATCATCATATAAATATTGAGCCTGAAAGATGGATACTTTACATGTTTAATTCCCATGAAACTCAAGAGAGGTTTCGCTGCGGATATAAGAAGCACAGCTTGAAGAAGACCAAGAATGCCTCCAATGATCAAAGCAGATGAAGCTGATGGTATGTTTCTTTTCTTGGCTGGAGGTTTACTAACACTAAAGATACCGATACCGGTTTTGGATTCATCGGAGGATGTAGAATCTGAATGAAAGATCAAACAGACTACTGATTAGTACTTAAAGAAATCAAGATGAGTGATGATGTTTCCAAGAATATATATATATACCTTTGCTGTTTTCAGGAATCAGTTCTTGAGTTTCCTCGTCTGTATTTTTAATACCAGTTTCAATACATTCTTTATGATCCTGGACTGTGTTTTGCTGAGAGCTACAAGCATCTTCCTCTGCTACAAAGGAAGTTGTGATGCTAACGAGTGGGAAAATAGCGATTCTTGAAACTTGGTTAAACAGAGCAATTGAAACTCCAACTGCAGCAAGCTCTACAGGACCTGAAATCATCACCAAAACAAGAAACTTAAATTTAAAAGATTATTTCAACTTTTGTAAGACTGGTTTTTGTTGCTGTTGGTGTTGTTGTTACCAATTTGGCCTATGAAGGCTGTGTCAACAAGAGATGCAATAGGATCAGCTGTTAAAGCAAGTGCTGCAGGTAAAGCTATTCTTGCTATCTCCAAACCCAGCTCATCAAACTTGAAAACCGATCTGATACATGAAAAAGAAATCTAGTTTCAAGTTTCTTATTGATCATGTAAAAAACATAATTTTTACAGAAAATAAATATGTTACCTGAAATCAGTAAGGAAGATGCAAAGAGGGTTTCTTGGAAAATCAGAAGGAGTTTCTTTGTTGTTGCCATCTTCAGACATCATTAAGAGATGTTACTGAAGCTTCTTGAGTTTACAAGCTTCACAAGTACATAAGAGAATGTAGATACAGAATCTAGAAAAGTAAATGATTCTCTGTTAGTTAGGTGGCAATTTGATTAGATGCCCTCAGAATAAAAACAGATAACTTTTATCTATTTCATTTTCAGAAAAAGGGCTTTCAAAGCTAACCACACATTACATTTACCTTTAAGCCTCAAATTATTGAGGAGATGGTCTTAACATCATCAAGTCAAGCTCGAATTTAGCCTTGGTTCTTTGTCTTCTGTCCAGAGGCCTAGAGAATTCCAGAAACTCCCAGAAAACCAAAATTCTGTACCAAGAAAAAATCTAGCTTGGATCAAAGGCTAAAAAGTTTCCTATCTTTAAATAGAGAAACAAAAATTAAAGAAAATTATCATAAGAAAGAAGAAATTAAAGATATTTGAGAAGAGAAATTTGGTTACAACAGATTGTTCAACACTGAAAGTTTGGTTAACGTCAACTACCAAAGAAAAATCAAAAAAGTTGATGTCAAGTGACAGAAAACTACACAACCATTTTAGGATACCTATATGAATTTCTCTGAAAAATGAAGTTAACAAAAATAGAAGATTAATTTAACTTTAATCCAAAATTATGCCAGGAACTAAAACGTGACCACGAACAGAGTTAGTAAAAATGTAACGTAAGAAGAACACACCTTTTTTTGTCTGAACCACGAGAGATCAATAATGTCTATTTTCTTTTTCTATTTTTACGAAACAATTTCCCAGAAAATTATAAACAGACAAAAAACAAAAAAATCCCAGAAAATTTAAAACTTCAGCTTTTTTTGTTCTCTAGCCGTTTCAACTTTCCAGAATGTAACACTCTGTTTGGACTTTGGACCAAAAAGGGTTAATTTTTCCCTTGGATTAGGGTTTTTAAAAATAAATGACAGTGAATTTGAATCAGATGATGAAATGATAATCAATCAAGGAGTAGGAAAGTTGACGAAAAAAGTTGAGTAGGCAAAAAAAAAAAAGAGGAATGAGGAAAAGAAATGGTTCAGAAAGACTCAGAAACCAAAGCGTGTAGATGGAAGGTGGAACGTCTTTTAAGTTTTAACATTGGAAAAAAAAATTATTTTTTCTTTTAATGGGAAAAATTGTACATTTAGGAAAATGTCATAAAAAAAAAATCCTGAAGCTAACTATACCTATCACATAAATGAATTTGTTACTTAATTTTTTAACAAAACTGAAATGAATCTGATTACTATTCCACATTTTATTCTAGTTCTTACGATTCTAATACAATTTTACATAGTTAGCAATATATTGGGTAGATAACATTTCACAGAAATTAATGAATTTGATTGTAAGTTATATTTCCTTATCTGTACTAAGATGTCTTTAACAAAAAAAAAAAAAAAAAATATGTACTAAGATGTTTGAGTTTAGAAAAAAAATCAGATGAATTACAGTATTAGTGAATTTGATTGTGTTATCTGAAATAACTTTTCTCCCGTATGTAGGGGTTCGATGTCGAGTGTTTATTAAGCTACGTGTATAATCTACAGTAGATTTTTGTTTTTCTGCCGACCGCATAAAACTAAAATTAGAATTTTACTAAAGATTAAAATTTTAAAATTAGAAAGGAGAAAATCAAAAATATAGTAACGTGGGATATGATATCAAGCGACAAGCGGAAGCGGTGCGTTACATGACTCGCACTTTCTTTGATTTTGAAGCACCAAAGAGGAGATGAAGCTTGACCAAAAATCTAACCAACTTTAGTTTATTTTCGACTTCTAATCCTGTATTTTATCCGGAACTCGATATTAAGTAATTGATCAAAAATGCATTTGGATGTTTCACTTTATGTTTTTCTACTTATATTCGTTGTTTTAATAAACAACTTCTATTGAGAAAAAGGAAAATTAACAGCTTTTGTTCTCTTGAACCGACTAAAAATATCGCAAACACACCGACTTAATCAGTTTCCTATTCCTTAAGAACAATAGTTTGGTGTACTGATTTTCTATATATAGTAAGTTTATATGTTAGACGTAACAACTCCTTACGTGGAAGAGTTTACCCATCCTCTCTTTGACTTTGTCCGACATGGAAGGCAAGGAGCAAGAACATAACAAGGACGATTCCAACGACGGTCTAAGTAACATAGACACGATCCCCTATGATCTAACGTTGGAGATTCTAACTAGATTGCCCGTAGAATCTCTAATAAGGTTCCAATATGTTTCCAAGACATGGTCTTCCATAATCCGAAGCAGAAAGTTCATCAAGTCCGTCGTCTCCATGTCCTCGAGCACGCCATCACCACGACTCCTAATCTCTTTCAGAAACGGTAAACTAACCAACAAGAACGCTGAAAAGCGTTTGTTCTTCTTCACGGCCTCTTCACAAGAGGAGGACTCATCTTCTTCTTTGGTAGCAAATTTGGACATGACACTGTCTTCCATGGACGCTTATTACTACATACGTTGCGCTTCCGTCAATGGCTTTATCTCCCTTTCACATAACGGCCAGTTCAAGATATGTAACCCTAGCACAACACAGGTCATAACCTTACCCGAAATCCCGGGTGGTGCTGATTGGAATTGGAATTACTCAACTTGTAAATACTTAGGGTACGATCCGGTTGATGATCAATATAAAGCAATGTGTAAGAAGGTTTCAGATTCTAAAGAAGATCAAGAACACATGGTTTTAACACTCGGAGGTGATAAAAAGCCTTCATGGAGACGCATGGAAGGCACAACACGAGATTATTGCCCTTTAACGAAAGGAATATGCATCAATGGGTTTGTGTACTATGGCGCTTGGACTCCAATACGGTTTATGGAAAGAGTGGTAGTGTGTTTTGATGTTAGATCAGAGAAGCTAAGTTTTATCGAACTACCTTCGAGGAACGGCATAAATTGGGAAGGTACTTCGGCTTTGATAGACTACAAAGGAAAGTTAGCTAACGTAAATGTCCACTTGTCGCGGGATGGTGTATATTATGAGTTTGATATATGGGTATTAGAAAATGCCAATGGACATCAATGGTCGATTAAGTCGTGTTCGTTTCTGAGGTCTTGGTGGGATTATCTTGGAGACATTCCAATGTCTATTCAAGGAGCCAACAAGAACGGCGAAATTCTTATTACCCCGAAGTTCTTGCCACGTGGCGGTGGATCTTTTTACCTTCTCTACTTTCATACAAAATCTAAAAGTGTTAGAAAGGTGCAAGTTGAAGGAGTCGCAGATGGTGAAGAATTTAGGCGTCGTTATGGAATTGGGAAGAATGGTAATTGCCATGTATTTATCTCACCGGAGTATGTACCGAACTATACCTTTTTATTATAGTGTAATTTGTTTTCTATTCAAGGGCCAAATTTAGTTTTCGATATAAACGATTAAGAACTAGAGAGTAATGGAGCAAACTTCATAAGAAAAAAAAAAGTAAAAAAAAGATGGACTTAATACAAGTTCGATTGAAATGATAATTCATTATTAGCATTTACTTTCGTTCAACAAAGATGAAAACCTTTTCAGAGAGATGTTACATTACTCAAACCTGCTTTTCCAGTCCAAATGTTGAAATAACTTTATGGATGTAGGGAGTTTTGTGTTTTTTTATTTATGATAAAGTATTTCAATCCCATTACACATCTTATTCCCTAAATTATCTCTAATATATTATCTGTTTTCTTTTAATTTTAAAAATATGTCACGTCTTGATTTTTTTTTTTTATTTTGCTATTTGATTTCGTTATTCTTACCAATTTGTCATTGTACAAGTTTTGTGTAGTTTGTTGAGTTCCAACACAAGTTGCTGAATTTGATAAAATAAAAGTAAAGCCGTAGCTTTAGTAGAGAAATGAAAAGCATTGTTGTCTACATAGGTATCTCACTGTCAAAATTAAACATAACATGGTTTTGCAGAAGATTGATTCTTCTTTGTTTTAAGATATTGACAATGATTTCTTGATGATCCTTCAAATCCTGAAAGAGATGTCACCCATGACAGTGGCTGCTCTATTGATGAACCCTGTTTTGGCTCCTTCAGATGTTGCAGATGTTGCATCGAGCAATAAACCCTACATTCCAAGTCAACATGTTTGGGTCGAAAGTCGAAACTAGTCAAAGCTAATATGAATTCATTTTGGTTCACTACGGGTTTGATTTATCAACCAGTTTCAAATGAGGTTTATTTTCAGTTAGATCCTATTTCGCATTGGTTTTATTTGATTAACGAGAATCTGAAACCAGTTTTATTTAGTAGACCATTCTTAATTAAAAAAAAAAATCTAACCGAGTACCAATTTATAAATAGGTTCAATTAAACTCGGTTAGGATTTTAATTAAGTTTGGCTCGGATTCGGTTAACGTAGAACAGTTGAACATGGATCGGTTCAATTGGATGCAATTAGCATTCAGTTCGGTTTACCTCATTCAGTTCGGTCCAATAAACTGTCGTCAACGTTAATAACAATCACATTGACAGAGCCAAACCTCCGGTTAGAAATTTCCGATGACGTTCTCGGCGGTCGTCAAACCCATACTCTCTCCGTCACTGTCGCTTTTCCGACTTCCTCATCTTCCTCCTGCTCTCTCACTTCACTTTCGCATTTTCCCCTTATCCTCTCACTTTCCGTCTCCGCCTCCTCAATCTTCTACTCCGGTGACGCCTCTCCTTTCCTCCCGCCGTAATTATAGCCGCCATGCGTTTCTCAGTGACCAGCACCTCTCGTGCTCCATGCCTGAGAAGCCTCTTCGTATCGCCGTACTCCTCAGCGGCGGCGTCGATAGCAGCGTCGCTCTCCGTCTCCTCCACGCCGCTGGCCATTCCTGTACCGCTTTCTATCTCAAAATCTGGTTCCAGGTGTGTTTCTGTGCTTCTTCATCTCATCTCTCTTTCTCTTGGTTCCGCCATTTTATCTCAAAGTCTATATTTTGATTCAATTTTGGAATTGAATTGTATGATTTGGGTTGTGATGTTCTTCTATGTTTCTGTAGGAAGGCTTTGAGAATTTCTGGAATCAGTGCCCATGGGAAGATGATCTGAAGTATGCAAAGCATGTTTGTGAGCAGGTAGTGTTTTTGATAAATATTTTTTTTTATCAAAAACACAGATCTTCTAGAAATTTAGATTCTTGCAAATTCGAAAAAGGTTTATACTTTGCAATGTAAAGAGACGATGTTTAACTGATTCTAGTGGTGCCATTTTTACAGGTTGATGTACCCTTGGAGGTTGTGCATTTGACAGATGAATATTGGGAAAGAGTTGTAAGTTCTTTCTTCAACTGCTTCTTTGTTTTTAAATGCCTTAGTTGTTTGGGGTATCTGATTGGATTTCCATCAATAAATCAGGTGTCATACATTATTGAGGAGTACCGTTGTGGGCGTACTCCAAATCCGGATGTACTATGTAACACTAGAATTAAGTTTGGTAAGCTAAATAGTTTGTAAATCAAGACTTCTTCTTTCAGTTGATTGTGTCTCTGTTATTTTTGACTAATCAGTTATAGATTGACCTTATATTGCCAGGTGCATTCATGGATGCGATTAGTGATATGGAGTATGACTACGTAGCGTCAGGTCACTATGCTAAAGTTGTGCATCCTCCTGCTCACCAAAGTGATTCATCATCTCTTTTGGAACTTTCACAAGACATGGTAAGGGTCTTTGCTGAATACAGCGTAGAGAGAATGTCACTGGTTTGGTTTAATGATTGCATTGGTCATAGGCCCACTAATGCTCTGTTATTTTCGAATTTTCAGTTGAAGGATCAGACTTACTTCCTCTCACATCTCTCTCAAACACAGCTTAAGCGACTACTGTTCCCACTTGGCTGCATAAAGAAGGTACTCCAGGAAGTTATATCTTTGCAAAATTGTGTGAGATGAGACAATAATGAATAACATTTTGATTGTTTGGCCTTTCTTTCTGATGTACAGGACGAAGTTCGAAAACTAGCCACAGAATTCGATTTGCCAAATAAAGATAGAAAGGATTCACAAGGAATATGTTTCCTTGGAAAGGTAGACTCTATCTAGTTTGTTCTTCTAGTTTATGACAGTTTGCCTTGTTGCAAGAGTCTGAAAACACATGAATATGGTTTTCTGTAACAGATAAAGTTCAGCGATTTTGTGTGTAGACACATAGGAGAGATGGAAGGAATTATATTGGAAGCTGAATCTGGCGATTTTCTCGGTAACCATCGTGGCTTTTGGTTTTACACTATTGGACAACGCCAAGGCTTGCGTTTACCAGGTGGACCCTGGTATGTATGCTTCTTAACTGGCTCGTATGAACATTAGAAGCAGCAGCTTCTATTTCTGAATATGAGCCCTTTACTCTGTGTCCAGGTATGTTGTTGAAAAGGACACTAAAAACAATGTAGTGTTTGTCTCAAGAAACTACTACTCAATAGACAAGAGAAGGCGGATTTTCCGTGTTGGCTCTTTAAGATGGCTTAGTGGGAATCCTTCAGGGAATGTTACCCAGCTCCGTTGCAAGGTAAAAACAAGAATATGATTCAGTTACTTTATGACAAACGATGGCTACTTTGACACTGATATAAGTTGAGAGCGGCTTGTATAGGTCCGGCATGGGCCTGGTTTCTACAGCTGCAGCTTTGAAATGGAAGCAGGAGGAGGAGGAGATGTTGCGGTTGTACACTTGGAAGAAGACGATCAAGGTTTAGCTGCTGGACAGTTTGCAGCGTTCTACGAAGGAACCACTTGCATCGGGTCGGGTGTGATCCTGGAGTCATGGGATGATCAGTGTTTCCCTGTCTGTGCAAAAGCACTTGAACTCGCTGCGATGGAAGACAAGACAAAACTCGGGAAACCTGTCAAGATCATGACGTTGCCGGTTACGACATCTGTTGAGGCTGAGAAAGGAGAGACCAGACAAGAAGAGAAGCTGGTGGTCAATGCGTGATGACAAGATCCTTTCGCGTGACAACCAACTAGAGCCAGATGTCAGTATTTTAGCAAAAATATACATTACTTGTGGATTATTAGATAAAGGATACACAACTTTTGTTATTTTTAATGGCATTTTATTCTACTTCATGGGAGAGATTTACATTCGCACATGTCTCCATGTGTTTGGCAACTAAAACAGAGTAGGAGAGAGAGAGAAAAAGCTTGAAGGGCTAAAAATGGCGCTTGAAAAACGCTCTTACATCGAAATAGCAATGATGTTCCTCAATTCTCATTTCTTTGATTCCCCAAAAAGAATCTAAGAAAAAAGGAAACAAAAAATATTGCATAATAATTGTGTCTTCTCCACCAATTGTCATCTTCTTCTGTGTTCCTTCTCTTTATCTCAGACATGGCGATCCCTGCTGCTCTTGTATTTATCCCTGTTGGTGTCCTCTTCTTGGTCTCAGGCCTCATTGTCAATCTCATCCAGGTCAAAACTCGATCTCTGAATCTGATAGTGATACCAAAAGAAACTCATCTTCATTGTCTTCTTCATGGAAGAGAGACATTTTGTGTTCTTTAGATAACATTTCTTTGTTTCCAGCTTGTCTTCTTCATCATTGTTCGTCCATTTTCAAGAAGTTTGTACAGAAAAATCAACAAAACCGTTGCGGAATTACTTTGGTTACAGCTCATATGGCTGATTGATTGGTGGGCTTGTATAAAGGTTTGTAATTTTTTTTTTATGAAATCTTGTTTTGTCTATACAGAAGTATTCCGTTTGATATGTGATCATGTGTTGTTGTTGCTGCTGCAGATCAATTTATATGCTGATGCAGAGACTCTAGACTTACTTGGTAACAAAATAGATGATTTAAGAGCTTATGCGAGCTAAATCTTAAGTATCCGAATCTAATACTTCTAATTCTTGATATAAAATTTCAGGGAAAGAACATGCACTTGTTTTATGCAATCATCGAAGTGACATTGATTGGCTTATTGGATGGGTCATGGCTCAGGTTTTTCTATCTTTCTTTTGTCTGAAACAAAACTCTGTTCATTTTTTTAAACATTTTCCAAAATCTTTTCTGTCTCTGATTGAATGTTATTAATCATATAACAGCGTGCAGGTTGTCTTGGAAGCTCTTTAGCCATCATGAAGAAAGAAGCCAAGTTTCTTCCAGTGAGTCTTCTTTCGATATTTTTTTGTTGAATCTTCTTAGACTTATTTTACTAAAACAATACAAGTCTTTCACAGATCATAGGTTGGTCGATGTGGTTCTCGGATTACATTTTCTTGGAAAGAAGCTGGTCTAAAGATGAGAACACCCTCAAGGTTAACTTTTTGCTCTGTTTCTCTCTTTTGAGCTTAGAATTTTGATTCTGTTTTTATTTTCTTGAAATGAAACATCTTTTTGGTTTTACTTTCTTGCAGGCAGGTTTTAAACGACTTGAGGACTTTCCAATAACATTCTGGTTGGCTCTTTTCGTTGAAGGAACTCGTTTCACTCAGGAGAAGCTTGAAGCTGCTCAACATTACGCCTCTATCAGAAGCTTACCGTCTCCTCGAAATGTCTTGATTCCTCGTACAAAGGTGAGTGATCTTGTTCTTTTTTTCAGGGTTTTTCACTTCACTTGGATTTACATAAGAGTTATGCAAAATCAGGGGTTTGTTTCGGCGGTGTCTCACATACGTTCCTTTGTCCCTGCGATTTACGATTGTACCTTAACCGTTCAAAACAATCAACCTACACCAACTCTTCTTAGGATGTTCAGTGGACAATCATCTGAGGTTAACTTACAAAAGATTCAAATGTGTTTGTTTGTTTTGTCTTTTAACATTAGAAGCCTATAACATGCTTACTAATATCAGAAACTTCTTTGGTTTCTTCTTTTCTTGAAGGTGAATTTGCAGATGAGACGTCACAAAATGAGCGAGTTGCCAGAGACCGATGATGGCATTGCACAATGGTGCCAAGATCTGTTTCTCACCAAGGTAACACCAACAAATATTCTATCTCTACTCATCAAACTTTCCACATTGTTTACTGAAGTATTCACTTTTCTAAACCAGGATGCTCAACTTGAGACATACTTCACAAAAGACGTGTTCAGTGACTTGGACGTTCACCGAATCAACCGGCCAATCAAACCACTGATTGTAAGAAAACATCACACATTGGATTACTGGGAAAATGCTATTCAGTTGATTCTCTAATGAAACTTGGTGATTTTGTTGGAAACAGGTGGTTATAGTTTGGTTGTGTCTTCTTGTATTTGGTGGTTTCAAGCTACTTCAATGGCTCTCTATGGTGGCCTCGTGGAAGATCAATTGTTTGTTTGTGTTATTCTTGGTGATTGCAACTGTAACAATGCAAGTACTGATTCAATCTTCTGAGTCACAACGTTCAACTCCTGCCAAGAAACCTCTACAAGAACAACTTATTCCTGCCTAGGACAGAGATTTCCTAAATTGTTTTTGTTAGAATCTAACACTTAAATTGTCCATGTCTGTTGTAAAAACAAAAAAAAACAAAAATTGTTCATGTCTAGTTTAATCATTTAATTTTTAATATAGACTAGCATAGCTTCTCCTCTCTCTTCAATGAGACTAGTCTCAGTGATGATGATGATGATGATGAGTCAATCGAAAAGAAGAAAGCTTTGTACATGTTTTATGAATCAGTTTCGCCACAAAAAGCTTGCAACTTTGGACATGATTCCCTCTTCATTAGACATGTGAAGTACGAGACAAGATTTCATCAAGGATTAAAACATATGATAAAATATTTTACATGCAGGCGCGCCAAGATGCAGGCATCACTGGAGATAATAAACACATAGAAACACAAGAACAAGAAATGAGATTACATGTCAGCTCTTTTTTTTGCCTCCAGCTCGCTCGATTTGAACCAAACTCGGAGAATAATTAAGAATATCTGCCTGCAACTCATCCTTTATCGCTGGTCCAAGATCCAACTTGTGTGGCTTCATTGTCCTCCCCAACAATGTATATCGCCTCTCTCCTCTTGGTCTCGTCTTCAAAGTCATACCAATTCAGAGCAATCATGACGACTTTCTTCTCGTCGTCGAGCAAGAACCTTGCCTCGTCAAAAAGTTGAAGACCAGGGCTCATGTAAAATGCTAAGACCTTGCTCCACGACACCACTTGGGTGGTCTCAATCTTATTTGTCACCCATATCTCAGTCTTGGATGTACGTTCGAGCTGTAACAAGACCGAAAGTTTCTCGTCTTTAACAACGGAAAGACCTATAACTCAAAACATTACGCTGATAGGGAAGAGGCACAGGCACACATTTCTCTGTTGAGAAATCAAATCTGACCAAGGACACGATGGATTGCGTTTTTGTTTCATCTTGCGAACCCGTAGGTACTTCCCTTCAAAGACACGTTGATACTACAGTATCCAAGAGCCAGCCAGGATCCATGATATCATCAACAACCCTCCACGAATCAGAGCCGAACTCGTACATTTCAAATCTTTCATGATGATAAAAGCTCAACACTTTGTACCTCTTATTGTTGCCTTCTTTGTAGTATCCCAGAGCAAAATGGCGGTCTTTCGTCACACGGTAGCTGGGTAGGAACCACCTGGTCTCGCCAGTAAATGGGTTCCAAACCACGAATCTAGATTCGTCGGCGGAGGTGCATAACAAGAGGCCGTCACAGTGAAAGACTCTGCCTACATTGAATTGAGCAGCAGGATATGCGGATACGGCTAGGCTAACCTCAGTTTTCGCCTCTAAAGATGGAACCTTTCCGTCGAGATCGACGATTGCCGACTAATCCTGAAGGTCCCTCCTCAACAACAGAACCATAAAACTGCTTTGCGGCTTCGTCACTGTGCTTTCTAGCGAATCTCCGGTCACCGTTAAACATACGGTTCCATAGTTTACAAGTAGATCCCAATCCTCTCAGATGCGTAGCCGGAACACGAGTCAGTATCTCCTCCTCTACCAAATCCCTCGGAGATCTCTCAACATCTTTCTGATAGGGTTGGAGTTCCAATGGGTTTCACGAGAAAGAAGAAAAGAAGCAAAGGAACTAGGAAGGAAGAGATACGAATGTGGAAGCAAAGTGGCTAAGAGTTTGGTCAATGACACAAGGAAGAGAGAAGACTCTGTTTGGCGAAGAGGCTTCAATCACATCTTTTATTAAGGCTATGTCGTTTAATATATATAGATAGATAAATGTTTTGTGCTGTCTTGGTACTGCATGCAGAGTAATTTGTATGCTGATGCAGAGACTCTTGAAAAAATTGGTAAGATGGTTATACAATTCGGCTCAGGGTCTGAAATAGTATGAATTCATGTTCAAGATATAACTCATTCTTCAGGGAAAGAACATGCACTTGTTATATGCAATCATCGAAGTGACATTGACTGGCTCATCGGATGGGTCATGGCTCAGGTCTTGAAACAGAACATCTTAAAAGATATTTCTTTTTCTGTTGATCCCTTTAGGTCTGGAAAATCCATGTTTCTGTCTATGATTGTTTTATCATTACTATGACAGCGCGTAGGTGTTCTTGGAAGCACAATAGCGATCATGAGGGAAGACGCCAAATATCTGCCAGTGAGTTTATTTCTCAATGATTTTAGAGCCATTCTCAAAGCTCTCACGTTTTCTTCTGAAACTGTAAGTCTTTCAACAGATCATAGGATGGTCAATGTGGTTTTCAGATTACATTTTCTTGGAAAAAAGTTGGGCCAAGGATGAGAATACCCTCAAGGTTCAAGACCTTTTTCAGACTGATATTGATTAGTTTCTTGAGCTTAAGCTATTTCTTGATTTATTTGTTTGAATGTTTTTTTTCAGGCAGGTTTTAGACAACTCAAGGACTTTGCTACACCGTTCTGGTTGGCTTTTTTCGTCGAAGGAACTCGATTCAATCAAGAAAACCTTGAAGCTGCTCAAGATTACGCCTCTTTAAGAGGCTTACCATCTCCTCGCAATGTTTTGATTCCTCGTACGAAAGTGACTCTCACCAAAAACATGTTACTTTTCTCTCAAGTTATTATGAGCTTTTACTTATGGATTTCCGAAATCAGGGATTTGTTTCTGCGGTGACTCACATACGATCGTTTGTTCCTGCGATTTACGATTGCACATTTGCCGTTCGTAAGAAACAGCCTACACCAACATTGCTTGGGATGTTCGCTCGCCAATCATCTGAGGTTACAAAAGTTTTTTTTCAATGTTGTCTGTCATATGGCTCTCACTTCTCTGAAAACAAAAATCACTCTGTTTCTGCTTTCTTTGAAGGTGAATTTGCAGATGAGACGTCACAGAATGAGCGAATTGCCAGAAACCGATGATGGCATTGCGAAATGGTGCCAAGATCTGTTCATCACCAAGGTTTAAACCAACCAAATCTTGCTCATCTAACTTTCATTTTGTTTCTCATTTTTCTACTAATCTTGTAAAATCAGGATGCTCAACTTGAAAACTACTTCACGAACGATGTGTTCAGCGACTTGGATGTCCACCAAATTGGCCGGCCAATCAAACCATTAATCGTAAGACACATAAAATACATATGGACTTAGTGAAAAATTGTCGTCAAAACTAACCCATCTCTTACTAACAGGTGGTAATAACTTGGTTCTGTCTCCTTATATACGGCGGTTTCAAGCTACTTCAGTGTCTCTCCATGGTGGTCTTGTTGAAGATCATCTCTATGTTTGTCTTCTTCTTGGTGATTGCAACTTTAACTATGGCATTTATGATCCAAAGATCTTCTATAAGACAGCTCCCCAAAAGCCTCTACAAGAACAGCTTATTCTTCCCGTTGTCCTTGGTTCTTAATGTCTAAAACGGTTATAAATTACTCTAATGATAATAATGTATCAAGTGTTTAATCTCACATAGAAGCTTTTCACCGGTTTCATTCAGTAAACTAATGTGGCTCTAAAGTACACTCAAACGAGCTTCCCATATGTCTTCCAAGACAATGTAAGCAATCATAGATCTTCTCATATCCCGGTTTCGATTTATCCCTAACAATGAACTCAGATACAACTCCGTTAACCTCAATAGAACTACAACCAGGAGTCTTCTCTACGCCTCTCTCCTTCATCATCCCTCTCGCTCTCTTTGCATCTTCCCACATATTAGCCTTTCCATACATACCATCCAACAACACATAGATCCCACTGTCACCGGGATCAAGCTCTAAAAGCCTCTTAGCCGCTTTCTCTCCCATTTCAACGTTTCCGTGCATCCTGCAACCGAATAACAAAGCTCCCCAAACCGCAGCATCTGCCTCCATTGGCATGCTTTCCATGAGCTTCTCTGCTTCTTCTAGTAGCCCGGCTCTTCCCAAAAGGTCCACCATTACAGAGTAATGTTTCAATTGGGGATTTAGCTTGAATCTAGACTTCATCTGAGAGAAATAATCACGACCCGTTTGGACCATTCCTGCGTGGCAACAAGCTGATAGCAACCCTAAGAAAGTGATCTCATCCGGAGCTACCCCTGTGTCAATCATTTCGTTGAAGTATGATATAGCAGAGGATGCATCTCCATGAAGAGCCAAGCCTCCGATCATCGCTGTGTACGTAAGCGAGTTTCTCCTCTGCATTCCATGGAAAACACTGCGAGCTTCTGAGATGTTACCACATTTGGCATACATATCGACCAATGAAGTTCCTAAAGCAACGTTGAGACTAAGCCCATGTTTCTCGATGTAACGGTGAATCCAAACACCTACATCAAGAGCACCAAGGTGAGAACACGCAGAGAGGCAATGAATCATTGTGATCTCATCAGGCTTGACGCTACTCGTTTGCATCTCTTGGAACAACGCCAAAGCGTCTTGACCACGCTTGGCGTGGACTGATCCACCGATCATAGCATTCCACAGCACAACATCTTTCTCTTCAATACCATCGAAAATCTCCCTTGAAACATCAAGCAGACCACATCTCGCATAGCCTGAAATCATCGTAGTCCACGACACGATTGTTCTCTTCTCCAGCTTATCAAACACTCTCCTCGCCTCGTGAACATCTCCGCATTTCGAGAACATATCCATCAGAGCATTTGCAAGAGGAACTGTCATCCTCAGTCCATTTGCTTTGATGTATTCATAAAACTCTCTCCCAAGACTCAAACTTCCCAACATTGCACAAGAAGAAACCAACCCAATCATAGTCACATCATCTGGCTTCACTCCTTCAGATTCCATTTCCTTATAAACCGCAATCGCTTTCTCTCCCTCACCAGTCTTCTTATACCCATTAATCAAACAGTTCCAAGAAACCAAATCTCTCACAGGACTTTCATCGAACACTTTCCTCGCATTCTCCATCTCACCACAAGAAGCAAACATATGAATCGAAGCGTTGTGCACATGACTAACCAATTCCAATCTCACCTGAAGAACATGAGCCAGAATCATATGACCTAATCTACTCAACGCGAGATCAGCACAAACCTTGAGCAAAACTGGGTAAGTGAAATGATCTGGCTTTGAATCGCAATGTCTCAGCATCTGCTTGTAGAGCAAAACCGCTTCTTTCGGATTCTCGCTCTCGGAGAATCCTCTGATCGTCACGTTCCATGAGAATGCGTTAGCGTTCTCGATACCTTTCAGAAGCTTCACGCAGTAATCGAGGTACCGAGATTCTGACAATGCGCAGAAGGCGATTAACCGGCTTGACGCGAACGCATCTAGAATCAACCCGGTGATTATCATCTGAGCTTGAATCTGCTTCAAGTGGAGCAAGGATTTGCATTTCTCGAGCAGCGAAAGGAGAGGGTTTTGGAGAACGAAGCTGTGGGTGGAGTTCCAGTTGATGGGTTTGTCTCTGTGATGAGGAAGGGAACGAGTTCGTCGCTGAGAATGAGAATACAGCGAGCGATTGAGTTTGGGTATCAGTGGAAGAAGAAGCTTTGCCTTGCTCACATTCGATATGTTCATCGGCCGTTGATTGTCGTCGCCGGGAGAAAAACGTCGTCTTGTTCTCTCCGACAAAACACATAATTGGGCCTATAGCCCAATTAGTCTGGGCTTTATGAGATATTTTGTATTTAGCTGTAACTTTAATATAAAATGAACTCCTCCATAATCAAATACGTATGCATATACACACATGCATGTATTTTTATTTTATTTTATTTGTGAAAGATGTATATTATATACTTGCATATGTTATTCAATATTTGTAAGATGATAACATCAAAACTATTGTTTTGGGTCAACAAAATATCAAAACTGAATAAGTTGTATTAATATAGTGTGGTTGCATAGATAGATAAGAATGTTTGGAGAAAAGAGAACAACGAAGAAACAGAAGACAAGGGACGGTTTGAAAGAACGTACTGATGCAATTGCAAAGTGCAACCACAAAACATTCACACTCGTGCTATCTCGGGAACATCTCATGTTCTTAAAATTCTCTAATAAAGTATTAATATAAAAGATTCAAAAGTAAGCTGTGTGACAAAAATAAGTTGGACTTTTATCTTAAGAGCTTCGAGTTCACACACCTTGCGACCAACACATTTTACTTTCAACCCACGATCTTTGACCCAAATCACATGTTTGATCTTACAATAAGAAAACAGCTTGAAGAGTGGTAATCAATGTTACATCATATATGTTATACCGATTGCTATTGTATCAATGTAGCTATATACAATGTTTTGATTTCCATTTGGCTTGTTCAGTTTTTCAGTTTGTCTGATTCCAAAAAAATTAGTTCCGTGTTTTTTCACATATAAAATCAAAACACAAATGAAAATTTCATTTTTACCAAATACTACAATTAATTAGTTTAACCAAATGCCACAAGAGTTTGATTCATAGTTCAGATCTCTTTCAAAAATCCTCAAAACAAATGTGCACTTGGTGTAACAAAGGCTTTTCATTGAATATTTTTCACATATAAAATCAAAACACAAATGAAAATTTCATTTTTACCAAATACTACAATTAATTAGTTTAACCAAATGCCACAAGAGTTTGATTCATAGTTCAGATCTCTTTCAAAAATCCTCAAAACAAATGTGCACTTGGTGTAACAAAGGCTTTTCATTGAATATAGTTTTACATTCACTAAAAATAGTAGTTTTATTTGATTTTTAGAATAGTTCATTTGCAATTTAGAAAGTTCTTGAACCAATTAGCTTATAAACTCGAGTTTAATATGTTCATTCCTATTATACACCTATGACACATGGCAACAAATGATAAGTCTATAAAGAACCATAAAAACAAAACAAAATTATCGTCGTAGCATGCTACAAGAGTGATGTTTTTTTTTTTTTTTTTTTTTTTTTGCTAAATTTTGCTAAAAGGTTTAGCGAAATACTTGTTGATACAAGCACATGATTCCTTGTGGTCCTTATTTTTCTAGTAAAAAGCATGGTATGTGCAATAATGCAACCCTTTACAAGCATATGATTGATTTCTTAAAGATTATTATTAGAAACAACAAACATCCTTTTTAAGATTTTTTGTGTGTTAGAAGTGTATGCACGAATCATCAGGATGCAAGAGAATTTTTGCATGACAAAAAAAAAAAGTAAGAGTCAACGAAAATGCAAATGCTTATATAAAATAGTTTAAAAGAACATTGAAGAGTTAGATGAATAAGAAATCGGGGTTACATTCCCAAGTAATATGTTTCTGAAGCGGAGCCGACATGGAGACGAGACCACCAAAGCAAGTGCTGTCTTAGATCACAACTATCTCCTTTCCCAAAGCCATCAATATATATATTATCCCCAAAACACCTTATTGTTTACCAATATCACCTCTCTCCATAAAAACAAGTATACATAATTATCGGTATTCGATGTTTGAGGTAGAGAACAAGCCTCTATATTCTTGATCTTTTTTTTTTATTTTACGTTTGGGTTAGGTGGTGTCTTTCTGACCAATAGTTTCACTTACTACTCACATTTCGAATTTTGTACTTCTTTATATCCAGTTTTAGATGTGATTTAGTTGTGCCATAACAGGAAAGTATGTTCATTCGTTACGTGTATTGATGCGATTTAAGTGGTACTTTTATGATGAATTTTAATGACAAAGTAATAACTCGTCCCTATCCTTTCTTTAAAGTGGATATCCTGAGCACCAAAGGGAATCCAGCATCGACGATATTTCACCGATGAACAATTCCCTATTGAATTGTCCGAGCAGTCTCCAAAAATCCAACGCGGAGAATAGTGTAGCATTTATATCGGCTATGTCGTAATTTAGGTTTAAATTTGGGACTTGAGAGTGTAGTATGTATGTGTAAAAGGGAAGAAAAAACATCGTTAAAGCATCATGTAAACGATAGGAAGTTACATATGGTCTAATAATATGGGCGTGTACTCGTGTTATTAATTACTGTGTTAAAACTCATTTGATTGTATTTGAATTGCAGGGATAAAAAACAAAAAAAAAATCAGAAAACACCACCATAATAGAATTTGGTTATTTGATGATAAAATACCGAAACCTACTTTAATCCATCGGCTGTGAAATACCGAAACCTACATTAATCCATATAATATGTAAAATAGCCAAATATTTTTGTTATCTTTTTTTTTTTACAATGGCCAATCACTATTGGAATTACCGTGCATGGTTGGTCTACAACTCTAACTGTAACCACGCAAGCTAAATTCTCTAGCTAACGATCATGCATTGATTAACCACCATTACACCCCGATACTAATTGATTTTTACGGCAGAAATTGAAGTTATTTAAATATATTATTGTCACACTAATTCTTTTAGTACAAGGATCTAATATTTTTCTTTCTCTCTTTCTCCTATTTCTCCCGTTATCTCTCTTTTACACTCACACTCACACTCACACTCACACTCACATCCCTACTTCCTCTCTCTCTCTCTCTCAAACACAAACCCATATCAACCATAGATTCGGTGCCTTTCTTCTTCTTCTTCTTCTTCTTCTTCTTCTTCTTTGTCTACTCCTCAAAGTCATGTCTAATCCAGCTTGTTCCAATCTCTTCAACAATGGATTTGACAATACTAACTTCAACTATTCCACTTCTCTCTCTTACATTTACAACTCTCACAACAGCTTCTATTACCCTAATACCACAAACCCTAGTTACATGACTCCTCTTCCTAATCCTACTTCTTCCACTTCCCCTAACTCACCTCCACTCAGAGAAGCTCTTCCTCTTCTTAGCTTAAGCCCCATAAGGCGCCAAGAACAGCAAGATCAAAACTATTTCATGGACGCGGAATATCAGATCAGCTCTTCAAACTTTCTTGATGAACCTCACGTAACTGTGGATCTTAATCTCGGGCTGCCAAACTACGGTGGTGGTGGGAGCACTGGGAGTTTCATCGCTGCTCCCGAAGTTACCACCGAAGAGCAAGATCGTGATCAAGGAGTAGAAGTCACAGTTGAGTCCCACGTTCATGATGATGATGATCATGGAGATCTACACAGAGACCATCACTATTGGATCCCTACTCCTGCTCAGATTTTGATTGGTCCTACACAGTTCTCTTGTCCTCTCTGCTTCAAGACATTCAACAGATACAACAACATGCAGGTACTACTCCACTGAACTATAAACTCATCTCAAGATTTGATATTTTGCTTTTTTTTTAAACAAGATTTGATTTCTTGTTCTTCAAATAAATTATCAAAAAAGTAATTATAATAGTACATAGCTTTTTTCTTCTATTAAGTCTAATAAAACGTATAAAAACTCGTTATTGATTTTTGGATCTTTAGGGGTATCTCTAGAAGTAGTAATTTACCTGGTACTTTTGGCACTTACTACTTCGCCTTGATGTTTAGTAACTCGAGAATAATTAACTCCTTTAAAAAAATGTATGGTATACGTCAAATCGGTTTCAGGGTGTTGAATGATGGTGGCTATGTAAGATCAGTTTTCCTCTAGAAGTCAGAAGATCTTCTTTAACCAACAGTCTTTTTGTCAGACTGACACTTTTTAACCCTGAAACATGCTTAGTCCACCTCCATCTTTATTGTCTCTCTTGATTTTTGTGAACTATTTTTTCTTTTAAACCAAGGAAGATTAATATCTTGCAGATTATTCGTGGATATTGACTTTGTTTTGTTTACATATATAGTACCCAAAAGATAGATAGAGCTAATAATTATTGCATGCCAAAAGCAAACTTTAACATGACATAAAGAGGCTAAGATCTACATATAGAACTTTACCTAAAGTGTTTCATATTTGAAATATTATATTTCACATTTACATATATTTTAATTTGGTTAGAGCACATTTATATCTAATACAAGGCGAGATTTTTATTTGATTTATGTTCATATGTTAAATTATTGTGTTCATTTGGAAGAAGAAAGAAACATATCATAATGTTACAAATAGTTTTTGAAAATTATACAACCCAAACCAAAAGAATTGCGTTTGCGTTTACTATTTCCGAACGCTGATAAAAGAAAATTACTTGAATTAATAATCGTAAATCTATGTATACAAATACAGTAGTTCCAATCTAATCAATTAATTGTCTCACAATACCAACCACATGCAATGATGCAATAGGATGTACCCTAGAGTTAATACTTTCTAAGACTGATGATGACTCTTTTTTTTATAGATGCACATGTGGGGACACGGCTCACAATACAGAAAGGGACCAGAGTCGTTAAGAGGAACCCAACCAACAGGAATGCTAAGACTACCATGCTTCTGCTGTGCACCAGGATGCAAGAACAACATCGACCACCCTCGAGCCAGGCCTCTCAAGGACTTTCGAACACTCCAAACGCATTACAAGCGCAAACACGGGTCTAGACCTTTTGCTTGTCGCAGGTGTGGCAAGGCCTTTGCTGTGAAAGGAGATTGGAGAACGCATGAGAAGAATTGTGGTAAGCTTTGGTATTGCTCATGTGGCTCGGATTTTAAGCACAAGAGATCGCTTAAAGACCACGTCAAGGCTTTTGGGAATGGTCATGTCCCTTATGGAATTGAGAGCTTTGGCGGAGATCATGAGGACTACTATGAGGCTGCTTCTGATATCGAGCAACAAGATGAATGCAACAACAATAACTGTTGACGATTATGTTTTGTTTGTTTCTCTTTTGCTCTCTCATGACATTAACTATGCATGTGATCTTTAGTTATGTTCTTCGTAACCTTTTAGTTTGTTTTTGTTTTGCTTTGTGCTCGTTCTTATAACTAATTAGAAGTTAACTAAAGATTTTGTTCGGCTACTTGAGATAATCTTATTATTTTCCTTTTACTAGTAGTCTATCTTCATATTTATTTTCGTTGTAGTCTCTCTAGTTTCAATAGACGAAATCACCTAAAAGGCTAAAACTTTAGTTAGTGTTTTTCTTATTTAATTCGACAATTCCGATAGATTCGCATTTGATTATGTTCTAACTATATGAAGATGCTTGATCTGCTTGCATGTTTATAGCTAGTAACAATGAAAACACAAGTTGTATTTGGATCAACATATACATTTTTTAAAGGCTTTTAATCATTTAGAATCATCTCTATCTTTAATAGAGAGCTTAATTCTTTATTTTGGTAAAAATGTTAAAGAGAGCTCAATTCTTTAACAAGTCTTTGTAAATCTACACTAGAGCTTCCTCCTGCTTCAGTCGCAGCTCTTGCCTCCCGTCCCATCTCCTTAGCCCGATCACGCACCTCGCGACCAACCTCACCCATCGTCTCAGCAATGACCCGACCGAACTCATTCGGATCCGGCACAGTCTTACCACCTTCACAAACCCGAACCGCCACACCCATATGCTCAACAAGCAACCTCGCATCCACAAACTGGTCTGCTTCCATGGGCCATGCCAAGATCATCTTACCACTAGCCATCGCTTCAAGCACCGAGTTCCATCCACAATGGCTCAAAAACCCTCCAACCGCCACATGATTCAACACAACCACCTGAGGAGCCCACCCTCTAACAACCATTCCCCGACCCGCAACCCGATCCTCAAACCCATCAGGTACCGGGTCGGTTTTCGCCACCCAAACGAACCGGGTCATGCTCTTTTCAAGACCAAGAGCCAGAGCATCGCATTGCTCTTTCGTCAACACTTTCTGACTTCCACAACAGATGTAGAGCACGGACTCGTCTGGACATCCGTCGAGCCAACTAAGCAGCGCCTTGCTGTCTACGTTAGATTCGGAATTTCCTTGACCTAACCCGGTTAAAGAAAGCGGACCGACACCGAAAACTCGGTTATGACCAGCTTTCTCCTTCGCGTACTCCATGTATTCCTTTTCAAGACACTCGCAAGAATTGAAAATACAACCATCGCTCGAGAAATTCATCGTCGTGTCTTTGATACATTCTTGCGATAATGGAGTTTCCGGGACAAAAGAAGGGAGATGCTCTGTTTTGAAAACAGGGGAGCGAGGAAGGTCCGTGAAACAGATCGGCTCTGTTGTTTGAAAGATAAGAGGCTTCTCAGAGAAAATATGGAGAGTCGAAGCTAAGAATGCTCCGGAGCTGAAGAAAGCGAAGCGAGGAAGGCCGAGATCTTTGGTCCATCCAAGGAAGAAGTCAGAGATGAGAGCGACGGGAGGATCAGGATGAGAAGTTAACCAGTTGATGAGAGGCTCTCGAAGCTGACGAAGAGCAGCCATGATCAGAGGGTTTCCGGAACAACCGAGGTCTTTGACGTTTTCAACGCCGGAAGGGAGTGAAGGATGGTGAGGGAAAGGGAAAGTGATGGCGGTGACGACGGATGGATGAGCGGAGAGAAGAGGAGAGAGATAAGGAAGGTTTTTGGGAGTGACGATGATGGAGACTGTGAAGTCGCCATGAAGACAGAGCTGATGGGTTAAGTCTAGAAGAGGGAGCAAGTGGCCTAGTGCTGCATATGGAAACACCATGATGTGCTGCGGTTTCGAAACGGGGCGTTTTGATTCTAGCGGCGGCTGTGGTGGCACTGCTCCGGTCATTTTGGCGGTTGGGGTTTAGGACGGTAGTGAGATGTTCAATGATTGTGTTTGTGTACGTAACACAACACAAGTTGATACAATCACTATATATCTACACATTATGATATCAAGATATTATATCTCTTTTTTTTTAAAACGTCGGATCATATTCATACAGTTAATAGAGAAAAATTAATTAAAATTTTACATATTAAGGCTATTTTGACAAAGTATGTTTTTTGCTGTTGGTAACTTGGTATTTTCGTGAAATCAGACAAACTTCTTTTCTCTTCATCAAATCAGACCAAACAAAAATGTGAATCATCATCATCATAATAGTTACGTAGGAGATGCCGTGCTGGGGTTTTATGACGTAGACACATGGCTTTAGTTCCTTTTGTTACAGGCGAAACAATCGATGAAGAATCGGCTCATCAAGTTATCACACAGCAAAGAACGTTGATGCGGATATTGGTGATGATTAAAGTAACTGTTTACTACAACGTCCTTATGAATAATAACACGAAAATAATATGCAAATTATTAACCTTTTTTTCTTTAGGTAAACTAAATCTTGTTTACAAAAAATCCTTAACCGTAGCCTGTAGAAAGCTGTCTACTTCAAGAATTAGTCGGACGATTCAACGAAATTTAGATATCTAGGATTTAATATATATATATATATATATATATATATATATATATATATATATATATATATATATATATTGAAAACAAAGACAATATACATTAACCATATTTGAACTCATGTGGCCACTACGGTATTATTGAGTATTGGCATTACACACATATTTGCTCTAAAATATGTCTGTCTTCACAATTCAATAAAGATATAAATGCCAAATTTACCATCAATTTTATTGGTACTTCCAACTTAATTTTCTCCCATTTTTCTTTGTATGATAATACTAACAATTCTGTGTTCAGTCATTTTTTTAGATATTTAGTTGTTTTTTATAATCAAAATACTTGTAGAAACGTGAGTTTTACAGACTAAAAACCACCAGCATTTACTAAAGAGGCTTTTTTGTTTATCTGTGGCTATATGATAATACGTTATTCACAGGATCTGAAACAACAGGCAGAAGCCAAAGCAATGACTTGACTGATTGGTACTTTAGGTAATTAAAAAAAATCCAAAAAAAACGTCTAAAATAGAAGATTCGATACTTGATAGTTTGTAGTCTCTCTAACAAGTGTGAAGCCTCCGATGCCATGACTTACTGCTTTTTGGGACAGATGATACTACCAATTTCAGCAATTGATAGCATTGAAAGCCTTTCTACCATTGCTCATTCAAAACCTTTCAGACTTGGCTGCATCACATTATTTAGTAACATTTATATGTTGATTGTTGATAGACTCTACATGAGGAGATGGGAACTCAGAAAGAGTCCAGACTTGTCTAGCTAAAGACCACGACAACGAAACATGATTGGTAGATTCACATACCTGTCAAAAGTCCGAAATCTAGAATCAATTTTCATAACCTCCATAAGCAAGATTGGCTTGATTTAAAACTCTCCATTAGAAAGATTTTATCTTCTGAGTAGTGTCAAGAGACCAAACCTATTTAATTAGCTAACCAATAAGTAGTTTTGACTGAAAAGTTTCCTCTCTTATTATACTCCCAGGACAAGAAGTCATCTTACTCTACAACCAGCTTAGTAGATAAGATTAAGAGAAATCAGCTTTGAATGAGCGTTCTGGTGATTGATTTTGGGAGTTTCCATCGAGTGTTAACCGTATTATCCGGTTATGCATGTTCTTAACAATTACCAGAGATGTTAAAAGTTAATGACTTTGCAAAGTTACATAGCTCGCCAACCAGAGAATTGAACACGAAAATCAGCCTGAGAGACGAACACAAGCCACTTCTTAAAAATAAAGCTTCATATAGCTACAGAGACAGTCTCAAATATGATACAGACCACAAAGGTGGAGACATAAAACATAGAGAGCCCATAAAAATAATTAAAAAAAAAAGAGAGAAAACACATCAAAGCATAACTTTTTAAGAGCACATTTCTCTGCTTGCATACACAACAGATAATAGAAAGTTTCACACCACAAATATTGCAGACAGAGAGAGGATGGAATAAGCTTAAAGATCAACCCACGCTTTTGTTCGTTCAGACCATATATAAAAACTTTTCTTTTAAACATGAGAGATACTTGAACCAGACACAGACAGGAGTAGAGGAATGAAACATCGGTGTACCTGAAAACAGAGATTTCCAGTTTCAGATTTTGTCAAGCTTCTCTGCCTTCACAACCGGGTTTGCTTTAGCTATTGCTTCTTGCGCAGCAGCATGGTAATTGAAGGAGCAGTCGTGTATGTCTGCGTAGCGGTGTGTCCCGCAGAAGAGGTTGCCACAGCGGCATTTGAATCCAGTCAGGCCAACTCGTTTATTGCAAGTGGTACATCGGCTTGGTCCTTCCTTTGGTTTTGCTGCAGCTTCTTCTGGTGCTACTACCTCTGGAATGGCTTGGACAGAGGATGGCTGTACAGAGACAGCCACCGGCTCAACGGACTTGGTTTCAACATCGACGAACGCAGCAGTAATGGTTTCCTTAATCATGTTGCTGGATGATGATGTTCCAGACACTGCAGACGCAAACTTAGCTCCCTGCTCCTGTTGAAACACAATAGCCTTGTGACACTTTGAACACATGTTCATTGTCGCAGCGCTTCCGAAGAAACCGCAGTTGTTGATACATAGCTTCGGACCTTCGGGTGGGCTTTGGCAACCTGTCTTGTCGTGGTCCATTTCTGCATTTAAAAACAGCCACCTTCCAATTCAGTAACATAGAAAGAAAGAAAAAAAACACAATTCTTCACAAGTTCACACTATAAATACACATAAGCCCATTAGCTGCGTTTGAAAATCAGTGAAAAAACATAAAGCATGTGAACACATAAATTTCATGAAATAACATATCACACATACCTTATGCATGATCTTCATAGCCTATAACCACACTACCTATGAGCCGTTTACTATGGTTCAATAACTCAAACACGTAGAAGGAAGATAACAGAAGCAAGCCTAAAAACATTTTTCTGCTAACACTAGAACCTGAAAACACAAACAGATCCTACTAAAACCTGGTTTCCAACCATAAGCTACCTAACAGGACAAAAGTATCTAAGCTACTTTCCAGCTAATTCCACAAGAGCACATCATATATTAGGCAAATTGGTGCGTAAATAAATCTTCTATCAACAGCAGAGCAGCTAAATCATCTAAGCTAAGAATATAAGAACTTTCATCGAAAATCATTCCAAATGACTAAAACATAAAAAAAACTCTCATAGTTAATCTCATTTCCATCCACAAATTAGTGTTTTATATCAGCACAAAAGCTAAGAACTTTCATAGCAATTCATTTCAGATATAGAAAAAATACAAAACCCACATAGTTAATCTCATTTCCAACCAACAGCAGAAATGAAATGTTAGATATCAGCCATTCTATCAGCATAAAAGCTAAGAACTTTCATAGCACTTCATACTAAATTTCAAAAGAACACAAAACCCCACATAGCTAATCTCACTTCCATCCACCACTACCTTTCTTCACCGAAATGAAATGTTCAAAAATAAACCTTTTATATCAGAACAAAAATTACAACTTTGCATAGCAATCCAATTCAGATTCAGAAAACATACAAAACCCACATGCAAATTGTACCCAGCAATCAAATTCATTTCACATCACCAGCTTACAAATGAACCCTAGATGAAACTCAAAAACAAAATACCAAAAAGCTAATCACCTGATTGCCCGAGAAGCCTTGATCGATCGGTCCCTAATCAATCAAATTAAGAAACAAAACTCACAACATAAGTCGACAGAAAAAAAAAAACTCCAAACAGAAAGGGGAAATCGAAATTGGAATCGAAATCGAGACCCAAAACCGATAAAAACGCATAAAAGCAAAATAGAAATGAAGAGAGCCCACTTACCCTACGAATCTCCCCGAACAAGATCGGCTGCTGGAGAGATCCAGCAGAAGCTGAGAGGTAGAGGAGAGAAAAAAAGGTCGGCTTTTTAGGCTTTTTCTGGTTTTTCTCTCGTCGATTTTTTTCTAGCGAACCTTTATATTTTCATTCACACCGTTTGTGCTAGAGTCGGCTATGACGTGTACGTATTTAATTGGCTCCTCCGTTTGATTTTTTATCTTATACTCATTTCAAATTTTCAATTCATTTTCTTAACTTTTTGTGTGAAAAGTTATGCTTCCAAGTTCCAAATGTTAACTCACTTTTCTGTAACGGATCTAGACACTAGACATGTAATAAGAAAATAGCCAATAATTTGAAAATGACATCAACTTTTGGTTAATACAGTATCTGGAATAATGTAATGTACATCGAGATTTTCTTTAAATGGCTATGGTTTTGTTGGTTAATATCTAGAATAATATAATGTACATCAAGATTTTCTTTAAATGGCTGTGGTTTTGTAAATGTTGATGAATAGTCTTTTATATTTCGAAAGCTAATATATAAACAAACTACAAAGGATAACAAACGTAACATATTGTAGATACTATTTTTTAATGTCATTAAATATAGGTTACAAATGAAATCGTAGAAAAACAACCTCAAATTTTACTGATTTATACAACAGAAAAACGGCAAAGTCAAGATCTTGGAAACCAGCTTGTATATAGTAACAACATGTGAGTAATGGCTTGGGAATCTTTTAGCAGCATCTGTTTTTTTCTTTCTCTCAGAATTGAAGTTAAAATTGTTGTATTTATAGCACGGTGCATTTGTCATGAGAAGAAGAAGTTCTGAACAACCAAAAGAATGTCAAACCCAACAACAGACCAACCATCTTTACAAAACAAATATGAGCAAGCCAACCAAAATCCAAAATTCTCGCAGCGATAAGGGATCATGATTTGGAACTACGCAAGAGGGCAAAGTGGACATGAAATTAAATACCCAAAATTTCTTTGAAATATGTAATAGACGTCGACGGCTTGTGGATATGGTCATATGGATCAGATCAGTTATTGGACTCCACTTGCGTCACTGAGTGTGAACATAACATTATAAGCTTGACGACCAATGCATGCTGCATCTATGAAACAAATCCTATCCACTGATCTTAAACGGTCAATTTTTTCATATTTTTGGGGGAAATCCTTTGTTAGAGTACAACTGTGATACAAAGAAAGCTTAAATAGTCTCTAACCATTTTTGTTGAAGCTTGCTTGTTAGAGGAAGACGTGGAAGGATTTATGAAGACTTTGAACTCGTTTAAGCAAAATGTTGGTTAAACAAACTCTCTTCTTACTACTTGTGTATTTTCTCTCTAATTACGATTTTTAAGGAACTCAATCGTTAAAACAAAAAAAAGAGAGCGCCAACAGAAGTCCAGCTAAGGACTAGGTAGAGATTACAATTTACAACCAGCAAGAAACTTGAGTTATCTACATGATGTAGGAGATATTTAGAAGATATTTGGAGATTTTCACAAATTTCCTTTTTCTCTAATTATGTTTTTCCTTTTGGGTTTTGGATATTTTCTAGGGTTTTGTTTTCTATATAAACACTTTTAAGTTGTAGCCATGAGGCATATCATATCTTATTATTCTAATTAATCAAAGCAGAGAGCTTTTCTCTAATCTGGTGGATTTCCAGAGTTTTCTCTTCAAGTTCATGCTTGTGAACTTGAATTCAATCTAGGTTTAGTGCTTGCTATTCCTAGGGTTTTCCGACTGCGTCAAGTGGTATCAGAGCAGGCTTTCTCCTGTCTCTTTTTCGAGCTTGAACAGCTATGGGAGATCAACCATTGACCAAAGCAGATTTTCAGGGTTTTACCGTGGCTCTAACCTCGGCCCTAACTGCTTTGACTAATCAGATGAAAGTTTTAACCAATCAGACGGAAGCTTTAACCAACAAGGTTATCAAAGCCGGACAAAGAGAAAGGAGAGGAGAACGAATTAGGGTTCTACATGTTCAAGACAATAGTGTCGAATTTAGCAATCACATGAACATGCTAATCGATAGATTGAAGATAGCCGGCAAAAGTCAGAAAATAGACAAAGAAGGAGATTCAATTAGGGTTCCAAGAGATGAAAACAATTGTGTTGTTGTTATTGAAAACCCTAGTTCTCTTGAAGAAGACTTTGTAGAGAAAGAGATTGATCAACAGAATCTGCATGATAATAATGCTTTTCACACTAAGGCAGATATTTCATTATCCTATGAAATCCCAGAAGTGGAGAAGACAGAAGTTCCAGAAGGAGTGCTAGTGATCTACAAAGATTTTAAGAAACTGATTGCAGATGAACAAGGGAAGAAAAAGATTGATGTTGGCAAGCAGAAGGGAACCAAAGTTTTCAAAGAGGATGATGATTTAATTGTGTTCCTCCATAACAAGAAGTTTCAAGTTGTTACATACAACAAAGCACAACCTAGCAACTATGGTCAACCTTTTAAAGAAGATGTGATTATATATCCAGAAAAGAACTTGAGGAATAATAAGCTTCCAACCTAGCAAATATGGTCCTTTCAAGGTGTTGCGGAAAATCAATGATGATGTTTATGTAGTGGCTCTCCAGTTTCTAAGACATTCAATGTGGTTGGCATTCATGAGTACCATTCATATGAGATTCTTAATCTAGAAGAGAACTCGAGGTCGAGTTCTTTAGAGGTGGAGGAGACTGATGTAGGAGATATTTAGGAGATTTTCACAAATTTCCTTTTTCTCTAATTATGTTTTTCCTTTTGGGTTTTGGATATTTTCTAGGGTTTTGTTTTCTATATAAACACTTTTAAGTTGTAGCCATGAGGCATATCATATCTTATTATTCTAATTAATCAAAGCAGAGAGCTTTTCTCTAATCTGGTGGATTTCCAGAGTTTTCTCTTCAAGTTCATGCTTGTGAACTTGAATTCAATCTAGGTTTAGTGCTTGCTATTCTAGGGTTTTCCGACTGCGTCACTACAATATGGTTAAAGTTTTAAACGTGATGTTTTTGCGAAGACAAGCAATTAAGGCATTTAACACATGGCATTACACCGAAGTAGGTACAAAAGAGCAAAACAGAGGAAACTTGAAAATCATTAATTATAAACGAATTACATGCTTAATTGAGATATTAGTCAGAAGGATTAGCTTTTAAACAAAATTTGGGCACTTTCAAATCTTATTTTAGAACCCATAAAAAAACTAACCCTCGAGGACTCTGTTACCGCCGTCTACAAATTCATCATCTTCGCCGTCAAAAGTTAAAAGAACAGAAAAAAACACCTAAATCCTCTGCTAATCAAGAAGACTCTAGCCGATCCTATTACTTGCGAAACGAGAAAATAATAGCTATTATTAAGAACCTACCTTGCCTCGCAAGAAACACAGAGAAATCAACCTTTTATTCATTCCACATTGTGAAAACACCTCCTGGATTCGATCCATCTCCAGTATTCCATCCTCCGTACCCTGTGGCTCCACCGGAAGGAGGCATATCGTAATCCACTTTGACCGCCGGAAACCCTTCCTCAGCCGACGATCCAACGGTAGAGCTCGACCCGAGACCCATCCCGTTGCTTCCAAGAAACCCTGAAGTGTTGTTATTATCAGAGACAAATCCGTGAAGCAAACCAGGGTTGCTCTGGAGATAAGCATTGTAGAGCTGCGAGCTATGACTAGAAGACTGCAAGTAATTGTTGGTTTGTTGCTGGTGAAGATGAAGCTGCGTCTGAATGTAACTGTAGGAGTCATGAGCGTTAGTACCATACTGAGACATATCGTTGTTGTTCTGTAGAGTAAGCAAAGGCTGGTGGTGAAGATGCTCAAAAGGTTGTTGAATGCTTAGAGGGTAAGGTTGAAGCTGAAGCCTAGAGCTCGAAGCAACAGAGCTCGGTGCACCGTACTGATGGAAACTTGAGCCTAGGGCTATCATTTCCTCGCGTTTTCTTGATGATTCTAGAGCTTGAGCTTCTTTGAGCCGCTTAGCCGCACCACCTCCTATAGGAAGTGTGTTGCTCTCTAGTATGGCTTTCACGTCATAGCGGTTTATTTCAAAGTTTGTAACCGCGTTTAGTCCTCGAAACTTAATCGCAGCTATGTCATATGCTTCTGCTGCTTCTTCTTCCGTGCCTAAGCAAAACAGATGAATATATAAGCATGACAAGTCTAAGTGGTTTATTAGCATAATAATTTTTCAAGAAAAAGTAGAAAATATTTTGAAATCTCTTTTTATTTTTATTTTTCAGTATTAAATTCATCATTAAATTTACAGAGGTAATTTGAGACATCTTCATATGTTGAAGTCGTATTTAGTTTTGGACAATAATCTCCGAATGGTTTTGTAAATGACATAATAGTATATACTTACTGAAAGTTCCTAAGTAGAGATCTTTGTTTCCGGCAACACGGCCGATCCTTGCCTGCCATCTTCCATGTTGATGATGCCTTGTTACACCCCGATACATCGATGCACCACGCGAGAATCCACTACTTTTCCTGTTATCGATTAGGAGAGGTTCTTTGATTAGTAAACTACCATGCAACTATGAAAGGTGTACGTATACGATGAAGGTCTTTAATATGAGGCTAAGCCAACCTTCTAATAGAAGCCACAAACTCTTGTCTCGTCATGTTTTTCATCTCCTCTATTTCCTTCTCGTAGTTAGTAATCTAAAATATGCGACCAATAACGATATTATCAAATCATTATGTCGATTAGAAGCAAACTTATATTTATGAGTTATGACGATTTAAAAAAACATACAGGAAAATTGGTTGTAGTAGAGGGACCCCAATATTTGAGTGCAGAAAGGTCATACGCTCTTGCTGCTTTCTCTTCTTTGTCATACCCACCTGAAGTTTTGTAACCCAATTAATCAAAACATTTTTAAATTGTTAAATAAAAGTTATAATCGAAAACGAGAATAACAAAAACCATCTGTCTATACTCACCTAAGTAGACTGTTGAGATTTCAAAGTAGTCCAAGATTAAGCATCAAAACATGAGGAACATAATTAGTCCAAAATAGGTGGAAAAAAAAAACGAAAAGATACAAATTAGCTAATTATTCCAAAAAAAAAATTACTTACCTTGTCTTCCTTTCCTTGATTGTCCTTCTCTTCTACAGCTATTATCCCAAAGATGAGCTTCATATCTACCGGTCCATCTATGTCTATAACATCCCCAAGAAAATGTATAACATACT